GCCAGCTGGGGTGAGATCACTTCCTCACCCGCCTGCCTGCCCCCCCTCGGCTTCCTCTCACCATGGCCCCATTTGGCCTGCCCAGGGCTCAATGAGGGCGGGGAGCTTGGCCATGCAAGTTGCTGTAGCCTCCTTGTCCTGCCTGGGCCCTCCAGGTATCTCTGCCTCTCCAGTGCTGGGGCTGGAACGGAGGGCACAGCTAGGCTCCAGCTCCCCGTGTGGTGGCTCCTGCATATGAGAAAAGGGCTTCCCTGTGATTGAAGGAAGCGTCTGGGGACCTGGAGGGGAGGTGTCCCCAAATCTCATTACCTCCTTTGCTCTTTCTCTCTCTCCCCTCCAGGTGCCAGCCTCTGGCCCCGCCCGGTGTCCCCCTCACCCCTGTGCCACGGCCGGCTGGGGTTCCTGGGGATGGGATTTGCTTCCTGTCACAAATCACATTGCCAGGGATTTCCAACCGACCCTGAGCTCTGCCACCGAGGATGCCGCCCGGGGACGGGGTGGCAGAGGCCCCGAAGCCTGTGCCTGGCCTGAGGAGCAGGGCTTAGCTGCTTGTGAGCAGGGTCCACACCAAGTCGTGTTCACAGTGGCTAAGTTCCGCCCCCCAGGCCCTCACCTCCTCCGGCCTTGCCGCCTGTCCCCTGCTGCCGCCTGTCTGTCTGCCATCCTGCTGCCTGGCCTCCCTGGGCTCTGCCTCCCGTGCCTACTGAGCTGAAACACAGTTGGTTTGTGCACACTGGCTCAGTTCAGCAGGAACAGGAGTCAAGCCCCCTTGGAGCCTGCAGCCCGTGGGCTGATGCTTGGAGCAGAGATGAGGGCTCAGAATCAGACCTATGTCTGGAGGAGGGATGTGGTGGGTGGGTCTGGCTGGGCCCGAATGTCTACTGCAGGCCCTGATCCCCAACTCTGCAACTGGGGACCCCTCCATGGCCACAGCTCAGGCTGGGCTGTGGTGCCAGCGTGGACAGGTGGGTGAGTGGGTGGCCCTTCCATTAAAAAGGAAGCCAGCTGTGTCCTCTCCCAGGAGGCTTGGCCCCTCCTCTCCCAAGCCTGGCAGGGGCACTGGCCTGGCCCACACCTTCCTAGCAGCCGGTTACCCAAGAGGAAGCTGCCTTGGGCCTCCAGACCGTTAAATGCCAACTCCTGGCTTCCGGTAGCAGGCTGGGCTGACCAGACCTGGCCCCTTCTTGCTGGGCTCTGCAGTTTTCTAACTTGCGGGGAGGAGCAGTGACACCCACCGCACATGTAGGGCATGGAACAAGGTCCATGTGGACCCAGAAGGGACACAAAAGCGGGTCTGCTTAGTCCTGGGGCGCTGGGAACTAAGCTGGGAATAGCTGATCCTCCCTGCCTTGGGATTCTCAGGGCAGGGAAGAGTTAGGACTCTGTTTTTTTGTTTTGTTTTTTTTTTTTGGGGGGAGACAAAGTCTCGCTCTGTCTGCCAGGCTGGACTGCCATTGCACGTCTCAGCTCACTGCAACCTCTGCCTCCTGGGTTCAAGCGATTCTCCTGCCTCAGCCTCCTGAGCAGCTGGGATTACAGGTGCCTGCCACCATGCCTGGCTAATTTTTGTATTTTTAGTAGAGACGGAGTTTCACCATGTTGGCCAGGCTGGTCTCGAACTCCTGACCTCAGGTGATGTGCCCGCCTCAGCCTTCCAAACTGTTGGGATTACAGGCGTGAGCCACTGCGCCTGGCCAATTTTTTTTATGTTTTGTAGAGACAGGATTTTGCCATGTTACCTAGGCTGGTCTTGAACTCCTGATCTCAAGCAATCCGCTCATCTTAGCCTCCCAAAGTGCTGGTATTACAGGGGTGAGCCACCGTGCCCGGCCTTTTTTTGTTTGTTTCTGAGATGGAGTCTCACTCTGTTGCTCAGGCTTGAAGTACAGTGGCGTGATCTTGCCTCACTGCAACCTCCGCCTCCTGGGTTCAAGCGATTCTCCTGCCTCAGCCTCACGAGTAGCTGGGCTTACAGGTGCCCACCACCATGCCCGGCTGATCTTTGTATTTTTAGTAGAGACGGGGTTTCACCATCTTGGCCAGGCTGGTGTGATCATAGCTCATTGCAACCTTGAATGCCAGGGCACAAGTGATCCTCCTGCCTTAGCCTCCCCAGTAGCTGGGACTACAGGTAATGCACCACCGCACCTGGCTAAGTTTTTTAAATTTTTTGTAGAGATGTGGGGGGATGGGTCTCACTATGTTGCCCAGGCTGTTCTGGAACTCCTGGCCACAAGCCATCCTCCCACCTTTGCCTCCCAACACGCCGGAATTACAGGTGTGAGCCACCATGCCTGGCCTCTCTCCATTACCTTGAAATCAGATGGGAGGAGGCTTTTTTCTGGATGGGACTGAGGAGGCACAATGAAGTCCGCCAGGTCATCCGGGCTAGGCCGTTGTCCTTTTCCCCACCCTGGGTAGGCGTGGACAGAAGCTTGCTTGGGATGGGATGGAGAGGAGAGATCGTGCTGTGTGTCATGTCTGTTGTTCAAGTAAATAAAAGTTGCCCTGACTTCATTCCTGAAGGTCTGGTCTGTGATTCACTCCTGCCTCCCATCGCTTTCAGCTTTTGATTGGCTTCAGCTTTTGATTGGCTTGGCACTCTGGGCTCCTGCCTGCCCATCCCTACCCCACTTGCTCTGAGGACAGCAGCAGGGTGCCCCGTGCTTGGAAAGGTGACCTTGGGGGTGTCCTGGATTGTGGGGTGACCATGAGGGAAACCCTAGACTGGAGAGATTTTCACATCGCTGATCAAGGGAGGATGGAAGCTGATCTGAAGTGGTGGTGGTGGGGTGACCCTGAGGGAAACGCTGGGCCTGAGGGGTGACATGTGGCGATAACTGGGATTTGAGGGTCTTGAGCTAGGGACATTTGGGGGCAACTTGGACCTACGGGATTACTCGGGCCTCAGGGGAAGATTTGGGGTGCCTGGTATCTGAGAATGCTGGGGGGGAACTTGGGTTTGAGGGATGACATGAAGGAAACCCCAGTTCTTTTTTTTTTTTTTTTGAGACAGAGTCCCGCTCTATCGCCCAGGCTGGAGTGCAGTGGCGCGATCTCGGCTCACTGCAAGCTCCGCCCCCCCGGGTTTAGGCCATTCTCCTGCCTCAGCCTCCCGAGTAGCTGGGACTACAGGCGCCCGCCACCATGCCCAGCTAATTTTTTTTGGTATTTTTAGTAGAGACGGGGTTTCACCGTTAGCCAGGATGGTCTCGATCTCCCCCAGTTCTGAAGGGGGACATTTGGATGTGGCTGGGACCTGCGTGATGCCCTAGGTACATGGGAACATTCGTGGGTGAGTGACACCTGAGGGGCACAGTAAAGAGTCCCCCAGATCCAAAGGCGGCAGGGACCACAAGGGGTGCACTCCGGGCTCTCCACCGACCTCCATCGTCCCAGACCTCCAGGCGGCGCCACGGAGCGCGCGGGGCAGTCCCGGGTCCGCCCGCACATACCTGCGGGATTACGCGCGGCGGGGCAGGAGGTGGGGCCGTCTCCGATTGGTCCACTCGAGCGGAGGGGCGGTGCCAAACGCCAATCCCCGTGCCCAGCGCCGCCAAAGTCCCGCCCCCGACTGTGGGCTCCGCCTTCTAGCGGCTGGCCCCGCCACTCCGGGAAGCCTCTGTCCTCTCCTGCCCCGGCTCTGAGAAGTGATCCAGACACAGTACTTCCATTCGTCCAAAAGAGAGGAAGGCCCCGAGGAAACTGCTTCTCGGGGAGCCAGGGACTTTACACAACCACGGGCTTTCTCGACGTTCCTTGGATCCCTCACTCTATTTGGCGATTGGGAGCCTCTTCAGTGGTGCAAGATCCCAGACACGCCCTGGCCACGTCCCCTGGCGAGCGTCCACGGGTCGACCACGCCCACTCCGTTTTTCTTCTCTTGGCCAGCGCCCCGCCCACCGAGGTCGAGTCTAAACTCGGGGTGTCTTCCACATCCAGCTGCACCCAACACTTGCCACAGCCTCCCATGCTCAGCAATTTGGAGACAAGGACCCCCAATATTGGTGTCTGGAGCCAGGGCGCTCCCCACCCCCATCTTGACCCTTCCCAGGGGCTCAAGGGCCCAACAGCCAGGGGTGGGAAGGGGTCAGTGGCTGCAACCAGGTCCTAAATCAAACGTCCTAGCTGGTGCCCTTTTTTTTTTTTTTTTGTGAGACGGAGTCTCGCTCTGTCGCCCAGGCTGAAGTGCAGTGGCGCGATCTCGGCTCACTGCAAGCTCCGCCTCCCGGATTCACGCCATTCTCCTGCCTCAGCCTCCCGAGTAGCTGGGACTACAGGCGCCCGCCACCATGCCCAGCTAATTTTTTTTGGTATTTTTAGTAGAGACGGGGTTTCACCGTTAGCCAGGATGGTCTCGATCTCCTGACCTCGTGATCCGCCCGCCTTGGCCTCCCAAAGTGCTGGGATTACAGGCGTAAGCCACCACACCCAGCCGCTGGGTGCCTTTTCTTTCCACTTTGCAACCTCAGTTTTCTCATCTGTAAAATGGAAAACATAATCCTACCAACTCATAGGGCTGTGGTGACAATTAAATGACAGCGGTAACGCATTCGGCCCTGTGCTCCCTCATGGTGAGCTGTCCATCCCTGTTTTGAAATATTTACATAAGGCTGGGCGCGGTGGCTTACGCTTGTAATCCCAGCACTTTGGGAGGCTGAGGAGGGCAGATTACCTGAGTTCAGGTGTTCGAGACCAGCCTGGCCAATATGGCGAAACCCCGTCTCTACTAAAAATACAAAAATTAGCGGGGTGTGGTGGCACATGCCTGTAATCCCAGCTACTCCGGAGGCTAAGGCAGGAGAATCGCTTGAACCTGGGAGGCAGAAGGTTGGAGTGAGCCCAGATCGTGCTACTGCACTCCAGCCTGGGCAACAGAGCAAGACAATAAAAAGAGAAATATTTACGTAAGTACCATGGAATGAAGCCAGCAGTCGCTCCCATCCCACCCGTTGCTTGATGCTGCACCCAGAAATGAGGCCTTTTTTTTTTTTTGGGGTGGAGGAAATGGGGTTGCGGGTGTGAGTGGCTCTGGAGACACACCCCAGTCTCAAAATTAAAAAGAAAAAGCTCTGTTCAGTCTTAAAAAACAAAAAAAAAAGGACATATAATACACCGTTCAATAAATAGAAAAAAAGTTACAAAATGATGTGATCTTTTGTCCTTAATATACAAGAAGGGAGATGTGGGGGTGACGGGGGGGGGTGATGTTCTCCCTTCTCCTCCTTGGGTCAAGGTGGGGGAAAGGAAGGATGGCCAAAGAGAGTCGGCGGTAGGGACTTAGGTGCAGAGAGAAAGGCAGGTAAGTGCCAGGAAAAATGAAAACAGAGTAAGATGAAGGGGCGAAGCAGAAAGACAGGAGGAGAAAGGGTGAAAAGAGAGCCAGAAAAACGCCAAGATGCAGGTCTCTTTCCTTTCCCGATCGGGGGTGGGGTCTCTGGCTCTCTCTCATCTGTGTCCCCCCACCCCAGGTTGGGAGGGGCAGTGTGAGCCTCGCTCAGTTCCTGAGTTGTACGTCCAGTGACTAGCAGGTGAGAGGAGAGGGCAGCGATGACTTCCCTAACCCTTAGCCCACCCTGGGACCCGAGTGCCCAAGGAAATGGGGGTCCTGGCCACACAGGAGGATAAGGGGGTGAGGTATGAGGCTGAGGCCTGAGGCCTCTTCAATTCCTTCAGTGGGGGCGAGCCATGGGTCCGGGCTGGGCAGCCACTTTGGAGGTGGCATAACGGGGGGCCCTGAGGAGTAAGGGGTGGGGGAGGACCCCTGGCCACCCAGGGTGGGGTTGGGGGAAAATGTGCTACATTGATTTAGAGGGCTGATTTCTGGAAAGTCCTGCCTCCCAGCTTCCCTCCTGGAGCCCAAGCCAGTCTGGGTAAGGGAAGTTTCTCTATTGCTTTTGGGGGGCCCAAAGTGGGGTCATACCAGCAGCCCAAGGACACACCCCTTCTAAGCTTCTGGGGGGCAGTATGGCTTCTGTTTCTGGGGTCCTGCACACTTGCTCACACACTCCCAGGCACACACGTGGCAGGATGCCCCTTCCCCTGCCCCCCGTCTCCAGCCGGGCTCCTTCCCTGACTTAATAATACTGAAATGCCACGTGGGCCTAATTGGAGAGCAAGGGTGGGGGACGCAGGGGCGAGGGGGATCCCCACTCCCACGCACCCCACTGCCCCTCAACCAAAACGCTCCCGCACCAAAAGCATGAGTTTCTTCTTGCCCTTGTAGGTCTGTTTGAGGTTCTCCAAGAACTGTGCGAACTGGAGGTGCCCGTCGGGCGCCAGCAGGAAGGTCTCCCGGGCCTTGCCCAGGAATTCTATGAAGTCCCCATAGTGCCGCGGGCTGATGTGCGTGAGGCGCGAGTGGCTGGTGGTGATGTAGGCGGTGACTGCCGCATCCAGGAGCTGGCAGAGCGGCGCCCGGTCAGCACCCAGTGGCTTGGTGGCCCGGCGTGCCCCTAAGGGGCCCAGGCCGGGCGCCGAGAGAGTCCAGCGGCGCAGAATATCGGACAGCATTGGGGCACAGTGGATGCTGCGGATGATGAGGGGGACGATGGCAGAGAGCTCGTGCCGGCCCAGGGAGTGGCTGAGCGAGCAGGCCCAAAGCACGTCGTTGACGGCAGGGTGGCTGTCCTGGTTGAAGGCAATGCTGAGCTGCGCCAGGGCCAGCGTCGCCAGCTTGTAGGCCCGGAGCGGCAGCCCGCGGTGCTCCATATAGCGGGCCACAGTGAAGAGGTGGGCGTGGCCCAGGCCGCCGGCCGCCGCGTCCAGCACGATCTGGTAGGCCGCCTCGAAGGCCGAGTGGTTCTTCTCACACAGGGTCAGGGCAGGCAAAGCGCAGTTCTGAGGGTCCTTCATGGCGCACTGCAAGGCCAGGGTGCGGGCGCAGGCCCAGAGCTCCTCCCTCCGGGATGTGTCCAGCTGCAGTCGCAGCAGAGTGGCGTGTGTGGTGCCCGTCACTGCTACGATGGTGGCCGCCTCCACCGGTGTGAATAGGGAATACCAGTTCTGCATGATATTCATCAGGGCTTGCGGGCCTGGTGGGAGGTGAGGGGGGAAATCCGTCAGAAGAGGGGGCAGAGACATGTCTATGTATGCGTGGGTTAACCATGACACTGTCACCTCCACTTCCACCTCCACACCATGCTGAACAGAAACTTCCTTTCCAAATCACCAGGGTGCAGCTGGACCAGGTGGAAATGACCTGTGTAGAAGGCTAAGCTTTGTCCAGCTCCATCGGCTGGCCAGCCATTCCCTCCTGGCCAAGCCCTGAGCACAGGCTGGAATCCGGGAAGAGTCTCTACTTCTCTTTCCTTTTTTTTTTTTGAGGTGGAGTCTCCCTCTGTTGCCCAGGCTGGAGTGCAGTGGCGCGATCTCGGCTCACTGCAAACTCCCCCTCCCGGGTTCAAGCCATTCTCTTGCCTCAACCTCCTGAGTAGCTGGGACTACAGGCACCGGCCACCATGCCCAGCTAATTTGTTGGTATTTTTAGTAGAGACGGGGTTTCACCGTATTAGCCAGGATGGTCTTGATCCCCTGACCTTGTGATATGCCCGTTCTGAGATGGAGTCTTGCTCTGTCACCCAGGCTGGAGTGCAGCAGCGAGTTCTTGGCTCACTGCAACCTCCGTCTCCTGGGTTCCAGAAATTCTCCTGCCTCAGCCTCCCGAGTAGCTGGTATTACAGGCACATATCACCACACCTGGCTAATGTTTGCATTTTTAGTAGAGATGGGGTTTTGCCATGTTGGCCAGGCTGGTCTCGAACTCCTGACCTCAAGTGATCCACCCGCCTCGGCCTCCTAAAGTGCTAGGATTACAGGCGTAAGCCACGGCGCCCGGCCCTCTTTACTTTTATTAAACAATTTTTTAGAGACAGGGTCTCACCCTGCCACTCAGGCTGGAGTGCAGTGGCACAGTCACAGCTCACTGCAGCCTCAATCTCCTGGGCTCAAGTGATTTTCCCACCTCAGCCCCCCGATAGTTGGGACTATAGGTGTGTGCCACCATGCCTGGCTTGCTTCTCTCTCTCTTTTTTTTTTCCCCAGAGGGGGTTTTCCTCTGTCGCACAGGCTAGAGTGCAGTGGCACAATCATGGCTAACTGTAGCGTTGATCTCCTGGGCTCAAGCGATCCTCCTGCCTCAGCCTCCCAAGCAGGGTGCCACCATGCCCACCTAATTTTTAATTTTTTGTAGAGATCGGGTATCACTATGTTACCCAAGCTGCTCTTGAACTCCTGGGCTCAAGTGATCCTCGCGCTTGGGCCTCCCAAAGTGCTGGGATTACAGGCGTGAGCCACCGTGCCCAGCTGCTTCTCTCTTTCTTGTCTGTCTGGTTCTCTCAGTGCCCTCTGCAGAACCAGAACAGCGAGGTGGGTTGCAGGTCCCCTTAGGGGCTCTCACCAATCTCTGTGGCACAGCTGACCAGCCAGCGCACCATCTCCCTCCGCCGCCAGGTCATTATGTTCAGAGTCATCCGCATCACCTGCAGGGTAGGGGTGGGGAGAAGGGGGTTAGCCGGAGTCTTGGGCTGGCCTATGGAGGGGCATTGGGAGATGGAGGACCCCAGAAACACTTGGAGGTTAAAGCTGATCCAATGAACCTGGGTAAGTGATCTCAACTCTCTAGGCATCAGTTTCCTTACTTAGAAAATAGAGATAAAATAGTATCTGTCTCACAGGATTGTTGTTTTGCTTTTTTTGTTTTTGTCTGTTCTGAGGGTCCTTCATGGCGCACTGCAAGGCCAGGGTGCGGGCGCAGGCCCAGAGCTCCTCCCTCCGGGGTGTGTCCAGCTGCAGTCGCAGCAGAGTGGCGTGTGTGGTGCCCGTCACTGGGGCAGTATGGCTTCTGTTTCTGGGGTCCTGCACACTTGCTCACACACTCCCAGGCACACACGTGGCAGGATGCCCCTTCCCCTGCCCCCCGTCGTTAGCCAGGATGGTCTCAATCTCCTGACCTTGTGATACGCCGGCGTCAGCCTCCCAAAGTGCTGGGATTGCAGGAGTGAGCCACTGCGCCTGGCCTTTTTTTTTTTTTTTTTTTTGAGATGGAGTCTTGCTCTGTCACCCAGGCTGGAGTGCAGTGGTTCGATCTTGTCTCACTGCGTGCTCTGCCTCCCAGGTTCAGGCCATTCCTCCTACCTCAGCCTCCTGAGTAGCTGGGACTACAGGCACCTCCCACCACACCCAGCTCATTTTTTGTATTTCTTTTAGTAGAGACGGGGTTTCACCGTGTTAGCCAGAGTGGTCTCGATCTCCTGACCTCGTGATCTGCCGCCTTAACCTCCCAAAGTACTGCGATGACAGGCATGAGCCACCGCGCCCGGCTTCCTTTTTTTTTTTTTGAGAGTCTCACTCTGTCACCCAGGCTGGAGTGCAGTTGTGGTCTCTCGGCTCACTGTAACCTACACCTCCTGGGTTCATGTGATTCTCCTGCCTCAGCCTCCCAAGTAGCTGGAATTACAGGCGCCCACAACCACCCGCGGCTAATTTTTGGTAGAGATGGGTTTTCACTGTGTTGGCCAGGCTGGTCTTGAACTCCTGGCCTCAAGCGATCCACCTCAGCCTCCCAAAGTGCTGGGATTACAGGTTACAGGTGCGAGTCACAGCACCTGGCCCCAATTTCTTTTTTCTTTTCTGCTTTTTCTTTTAGAGTTGGGGTCTTCTTGCTCTGTAACCTGGGGTGCAGTGGTGTGATCATAGCTCACTGCTGCAGCCTCAAATTCCTGACCTCAGGCAATCCTCCTGCCTCAGCCTCCTGAGGAGCTGGGACTATAGGGGTGCACCATCACATCTGGCTAATTTTTAAAGTTTTTTTTTTTTTTTTGAGACGGAGTCTTGCTTGTTGCCCAGGCTGGAGTGCAGTGGCGCGATCTCGGCTCACTGCAAGCTCCATCTCCCGGGTTCACGCCATTCTCTGGCCTCAGCCTCCCGAGTAGCTGGGACTACAGGCGCCCGCCACCATGCCCGGCTAATTTTTTGTATTGTTATAGAGATAGGGTTTCACCATGTTAGCCAGGATGGTCTCTATCTCCTGACCTTGTGATCTGCCTGCCTCGGCCTACCAAAGTGCTGGGATTACAGGCGTGAGCCACCGTGCCCAGCCCTAAAGTTTTTTTTTTAGAGACAGGGGTCTCACTATGTTTTCCAGGCCAATCTCAAACTCCTGGCCCCAAGCAATCCTCCCATCTTGGCCTCTCAAAATGCTGGGATTACAGGTGTGAGCCACTGTGCCCGGCCCTATTCCTTATCTTCTTAGTGAACTTCTGCCACCCTCTGAGGCCCCACCCCCACAGGTCTCTTACCTGTCTATTCCTGCAGTCTCCGCCCTCCTCCAGGTCCCATGGGACCCATACCCTACGGACGACTTCTTTCCAGCAAGCTGCACCCAAGATTTGCCCTTGCAGTACCACCCTTTGTTTGGCCCCTGGGGATGACCCAGACACTCAGCTGCAGGCCCTGCATACAGGACTTTTTTTTTTTTTTTTTCATGAGACAGAGTCTTGCTCTGTCCTTCAGGCTGGAGTGCAGTGGCGTGATTTCGGCTCACTCCAACCTCTGCCTTCTGGGTTCAAGCGATTCTCCTGCCTCAACCCGAGTAGCTGGGATTACAGGCACGTGCCACCACGCTTGGCTAATTTTTGTGTTTTTAGTAGAGATGGGGTTTCATCATGTTGGCCAGGCTGGTCTCGAACTCCCGGCCTCGTGATCTGCCCGCCTCGGCCTCCCAAAGTGCTGGGATTACAGGTGTGGGCCACCACACCCTGCCGCATACAGGACTTTCAACCACAGACCCCACCCCAAGAGTTGGTGTCTCATCTTCAGGACCTTACCCTGGGCCAGCCTCTCAGTGGTGAATCCCTTTCCATAGATGGGCAATCCTCCTCAGGCCCCGCCCCCAAGGAAGCTCCTTATTGGTAGGCTCTGTCCCACCCTCGGCTTCAAACCCACCCACCCATGATCCTTAACCAATAGCACATTACTCCCAGGCCCCACCCCCAGACTTCGCTTGCTATCCATCCGCTGGCTTGCAGGCCCTGCCTCTCTGCTCCAGTGACAACTCTCCCCTAGAACTCAGTCTCCTCCATAGGCGGATTCTATTAATAATTCATAGGCTTCACCCCTAATGGGGACCCCATTCCCACACTCCCAGGCCTTACAGACCTTGCCCTTCTGTGGCCCTGCCCCCAAAGGTGAGGTTGACAGTCAGGCCCCACCTGCAGAGGTGTGGCCCACATGCAGACCCCATCCCCAGAGACACCGATTCATCTAGTCCCCATTCCCAGGGGAGTGGCTCACTCATGCCACGCCCCCAAGGCAGTGGCCCACTCATGCCACGCCCTCAGAGGTGTGGCTCACTCACAGTCCCCGCCCCAAGGGAGTGGCTCTCGCTCAGGCCCCACCCCTGAGGAACAGCTCGGGCAAAAGCAGGGTCCCCAGCGAAGTGGCTCACTAGCAGCCCATGCCCCCGGAGGCGCAGCTCACAATCAATCCTGGCCCCAAGCCAGCATCGCCCTCCCGCATCCACCTGACAGCCCTCACCTGCAGCCCCAGCTCCAGTGCGATGCCCAGCAGCGTGGTGTCTGGTGGGGCGCTGACCGGGGTGGCTGTCTTGCAGGCGTCTTGCGCCAGCTTGAAGAGCAGGGCGGGAGAGTGGATGTTCTGCTGGATGGAGCCCAGTACCGCGTGTAGCCACTTGGGGTCTCCTGGGTGAAGGGAGGGACACAGGACACCGTCAGATACACCCCAGCACGAGCCTTTGACAACCACCCGACCTGTTCACACAGATCCTTCCACCCAGGGACACAAGTGAGTGTAGAGGGATATGTATTCAGACCTCAGCGCCCCCAGTCCTTGCCAATTATCTCCTCTGTGGCCCTTTCCTGTTACAGAAAGCCACCTAGGGGCAGGGCGCAGTGGCTGCTCACACCTGTAATCCCATCACTTTGGGAGGCCTAGGTGGGTGGATCACTAGGTCAAGAGTTCGAGACCAGCCTGGCCAACATGGCAAAACCCCGTGTACAAAAATTAGCTGGGCATGGTGGCGGGCGCCTGTAATCCCAGCTACTTGGGAGGCTGAGGCACGAGAATCGCTTGAACCCGGGAGGCAGAGCCTGCAGTGAGCTGATACCGCACCACTGCACTCCAGCCTGGGTGACAGAGCGATATCTATCTCAAAAAAAAAAAGAAAAAAGAAAAGAAAGCCACCTAGGGATCCTGTGGACCTCTCCCTTATCTCAAAGGCATCGGGTGCACACCCAGAATGCCAGGGTTCAAATTCTGGTCCTGCCACCCACTAGCTGTGTGACCCTGAGTAAGTCACTTTACCTCTCTGTGCCCTGGCTGCCCCATCTGTAAAATGGGTAACACTCAGGCAATGGAACCCCCCTCACAGGGTGGTGGTGGGCCCATACTTGGCAAGGCCTTAACATGGCAAGGAGCTGCTCAAATGTTAGCTTTTATTATTATTTTGAGATGGAGTTTTGCTCTTGTTGTCCAGGCTGGAGTGCAGTGGTGCAGTCTCGGAGTGCAGTGGTGCAGTCTCGGCTCACTGCAACCTCTGTCTCCCGGGTTCATGCGATTGTCCTGCCTCAGTCTCCCAAGTAGCTGAGATTACAGGTGCCTGCCACCCCGCCCAGCTAATTTTCGTATTTTTAGTAGACACAGGGTTTCACCACATTGGCCAGGCTGGTCTTGAACTCCTGACCTCAGGTGATCCCCCTGCCTTGGCCTCCCAAAGTGCTGGGATTACAGGTGTGTGCCACTATGCCTGGCTAATTTTTGCATTTTTAGTAGAGATGGGGTTTCACCATATTGGCCAGGCTGTTCTTGAACTCCTGGCCTCAAGTGATTTGCTGGTCTCGAACTCCCGGCATCAAGTGATTTGCCTGCCTCAGCCTCCTAAAGTGCTGGGATTACAGGCATGAGCTACCGTGCTCAGCCAATAATGAGGTTTGGATGAGGTCATGAAGTTCAGGTACTCATGAGAGGGTTAGTGACCTTAGAAGAAGATACACTGGAGAAATTTAACTTTCCCTCTCGGTCTCTCCTCTCTCCCTCTTCTCTCTCTCCTCTCTGTTACCTGACTCCTCTCTCTGTCCCCCTCCTACTATCTCTTTGTCCCTCTCTCTCTCTCCCCACCTCCTCTCTCTCACTTTCCTCTCTACTCACCCCTCCACTCCCCCCAACTCTCAACACAGCAAGAAGGCAGCCGTCTGTAAGCTGGGAAGAGAGCCCTCACCAGGAACTAGCCATACTGACGTAGTGATCTTAGACTTCTAGCCTCCAGAAATGTGAGAAAATAAATTTTTGTTGTTGAAGTCACGCAGTCTCTGGTGTTTTGTTACGGCAGCCTGAGCTAAGACACCAGCTACCTGCATGGCTCCACCTCACCTTCCAGTCTCTGCTTAAATGTTCACCTGTTTTATTCCACTCCATGGTACTTGTTCCTGTCTCATTTACTGCATCACTTGCTTCTCCCCACTAGAATGTCATTCCACAGGGCAGGGGATCTGGGACAGTTTTGCCACCTGCTACATCCCCAGCACCTGAGACAGTGTCTGGTATATATAGGAGGCGCTCAAGGAATGTGGGTGGAATTTCGTGAAAGGATAAGAGGAAGTAGGAAAGTTAAGAGGGAAGGAAGAAGGAGATGACAGAGGAGGAAGATAAAGGAATCAGGACAGCTGCCACCCTCACCCTTGGCGGCTGTCAACATGGTGGAAGCCAGTTCACACTGGCGGGTCTCCAGGTGGCCAAGGATGAACCAGCGGGGGAAGCGGTTGCTCATGATGGAGTCCAGCGGGCTGGGATGAGGTTCTCCAGCAGGAAATGCTGTCTCCAGTACAGGCAGCCTGGGTAAGAGGAGAAGTGAGCCATGGTGAGGTGGGTCTGTTGTCCCCATTCTCTCTAGGAGACAGAGAAGCCTCCTGTCTTGGCCTCCCCACTTCAGCCAGCAGAGCCCTGACAACTCAAGATGATGGAAGATGTGTGTGCAAGATGTTCACTGCAGTGTTGTTTATAAATTGATACATTTACTTATTTTAGAGACAGGGTCTCACTCCGTCACCCAGGTTGGAGTCCTTGGTGCAATCATAGCTCACTGCAGCCTTGAACTTCTGGACTCAAGTGATCCTCCCATTTCAGCATCCTGAGTAGCTGGGACTACAGGCATGTGCCACCATACCTGGCTTTTTTCTTTTTGAGACCGAGTTTTGCTCTTGTTGCCCAGGCTGGAGTGCAATGGCGCGATCTCGGCTCACTGCAACCTTACCTCCCTGGTTTAAGCGATTCTGCTGCCTCAGCCTCCTGGGTAGCTGGGATTACGAGCCATGTGCCACCATGCCCGGTTAATTTTGTATTTTTAGTACAGATGGGGTTTCTCCATGTTGGTCAGGCTGGTCTTGAACTCCTGACCTCAGATGATCTGCCTGCCTCAGTCTCCTAAAGTGCTGGGATTACAGGTGTGAGCCACCAAGCCCAGCCTTTTCTTTCCCTTTCTTCTCTCCTTCCTTCCTTCCTTCCTTCCTTCCTTCCTCCCTCCCTCCCTCTGTCCCTCCTCTCTCTCTATAAAGATGGGGTCTTGCTATGTTGCCCAGGCTGATCTCAAACTCCTGGTCTCAGGTGATTCTCCTGTCTCAGCCTCCTTGTAAGCTATATTGCTAAGTGGCTCACCATATATGCAGTTTTGTGTTTAGAAAGTTATTCAAGGCCAGGCACAGTGGCTCATGCCTGTAATTTTAGCACTTTGGTAGACTGAGGCAGTCAGATTGCTTGAGTCCAGGAGTTTGAGACCAGCATGGGCAACACAGCGAAACCTTGTCTCTACAAAAAATACAAAAATTAGTTGGGGGTGGTGGTGGGCTCCTATAGTCCAAACTACTCAGAAGGCTGAGGTGGGTGGGAGGATAGCCTGAGCCTGGGAGTTCGAGGCTGCGGTGAGCTGTGACAGTGCCACTGCACTCCATTCAGCCTGGGTGACAGAAAGAGACCGTCTCAACAAAAACAACAACGGCAACAACAAAAAAAGTTATTCAAAGTTGCCCAATGGTGGGATTAACAGCATGCAATAGGACTCAGGCTAGCCTCATTCCAAATATTACCTAAGCTTCCTTGCTGTTCCTGTAGGTGGAAAATGAGAGTAAACATACTTACTTTGCTAGGTTGTTTTGAAGATTATATAAGGTACTGAGTCATGGACTCAGATAAGAGGCCAGCATACTTTTTCTTCAAAGGGCTGGACCACTAATATTTTGGGCTTTGCAGGGTCTTTGGTCTGTATTTCTTTTTTTTCTTTTCTTTTTTTTTTTTTTTTAAAGAGATCTTCCGCTCCTGTCATACCAGCGGAGTGCAGTGGCGTGATCTGGCTCACTGAAGCCTTAAAACCCTGCCTCCCAAGTTCAAGCAATTTCTCATGCCGTCAAGCGCCCTGAGTTGCTGAATTACAGGCCGCTGCCGCCATCCAGTGCCCGGCTAATTTTTTACCATTGTTTTACTTTATTTATTTTGAGACACCCGAGTTCTTGGTCGTGTTGCCACGGCTGGATTGCAGTGGCCACACACTCGCGCTCACTGCCACACCTCTGCCCATCCGGTTTCAATGATTATCTGTGGCTACACGGCCTCCCCGAATAGCGACGGCTTACAGGCGCTGGCACTACCGTCGCAGTTCATTTTGATTTCAGTAATGACGGGGTCTTCCCATGCTTGGTCAGGCTGGTCCTCGAACCCCGAACCTCAGCGTGAGTCAGCCCACTCTTGCCTCGCCAAAGAGTGCTGGGATTACAGGCGTGAACCGATGGGTCTCCTGGCCTAAAAAGTTGTATTTTTTAGTAAAGACATGGGGGGTGGCATATGTGGCCATGGGGCTGTTCTTGAACCCTGTCCTCAAGTGATCCACCCCCTCCCTCAGCCTCCCAAAGTGCTGGGATACGGGAGCCACTCGTGCCCGCCCGCTGATCTGGAATTTCAACAACTTAATTCGTCATTGTCCTGCCAAAGAAAGCCAACCAGACAATTCACAGATGAACTGACCATTGGCTGTGTCAATAAAGCCATTTCTGGACACCTGAAATTTTGAATTTCACATATTCTTTCATGTGTTTATAAAAATATTCTTGATTTTTTCAACCGTTTAATATAATGCTAAAAACACCTCCTCATTATCTCATGGTCCTTGTAGCGAAAAAACAAGGTGCCAGGTCCAAATTAAGGCCCATGAGCTGTAATTTGCTGAGAAAAAATTTTTTGCATAGAAATACGTCTGTTGTCTAAATGCTTTGGCTCTTACAGCTGCCTTTCCTAAATATTCCGGAAAAAACAACCTCCAAACTGTGTGTGGGTGTGTGTGTGTGTGTGTGTGCTCGTAAAAGAGACGGGCCAAGAATGCACAGGGTACGTGTGTGTGATGTGTGTGTGGTGTGTGTGGTTTAAAGAGACGGGGCCAAGGATGAGAGGGTCGCTGAGACCAGGAATTGAGAACCCAACCTCGGCATGTAAATGAGATCATCTCTACACAGGCAGGCACAGTGGCTCATACACCCAGCCCAACCTTGGAGGCCGAGGCACAACGAGATCAAGATCAGACCATCCGCCAACATGGTGAAACACAACACACTTAAACAAAAAAGTTAGGCTTGGGAAGGAGAAATGCGTGGACCACCTGTAGTCCCAGCACACAAGGACAGGCAGGAGAATGCAGAACCGGGAGAGACAACTCCACAACACACAACACCCACTGCCACTCCCAAGCCTGCAATGAGTGATGACTCCTCATCAAAAAAAAAAAAAAAAAAATTAAAAACTAGCCAGGTGTAGTGATGAGTGCCTGTAGTCCTAGTTACTTGAAAGGCTGAGGTGCGAGGATCCTCTGAGCCCAAGTATATGAGGCTGTGAAGAGCTATGATCCTGCCATTGCATTCCAGCCTGGGCAATGGAGTGAGACTGTCTCTAAAAGGACAAAAAAAGAGAGAGATGGGGTCTTGCTCTGTTGCCCAGGCTGGAGTCCAGTGGCAATTCATAGGTGGGATCATAGATCACTACAGCCTTGAATTCCTGGCCTCAAACAATCCTCCCTCCTCAGCCTCCCAAGTAGCCGGGACCATAGATGTGTACCACCAGGCCGGATCCCAAGTTGTTTACAGGTATCTCTGAAGGATGCTTTCAGAAGGCATGGAATAGGTTTCACCTTGTTGGGCATGGTTTACTATCGAGTTGGCCTTTTTTTTTCTTGAGACAGAGTCTCTCTCTGCCGCCCAGGCTGGAGTGCAGCGGCGCAATCTGGGCTCACTGCAAGCTCCGCCTCCCCAGTTCACGCCATTCTCCTGCCTCAGCCTCCCTAGGACTATAGGCGCCCACCACCACACCCGGCTAATTTTTTTGTAGTTTTAGTAGCGATGGGGTTTCACAGCGTTTGCCAGGATGGTCTCGATCTCCTGACCTCATGATCCGCCCCCCTCGGCCTCCCAGAGTGCTGGGATTACAGGCGTGAGCCATCGCGCCTGGCCCCAACTGGTTCTTTTATGACGTGTCCTTATAGTGGAAGACTACGCAGTGATTCACGTCCTGTGTGATACGACAAATCCTATAAGATGCAAAGCTCAATGAAAAAAAAAGGTGCAAAGAATAGATACAGGATGTACCACCGGTATAAAAGGAGGACCAGTGTTCAATTTCCAGATTCTGGGTTTGCAGAAACCTCAATTCTTGCAGGATAGATACGAAAGTGATAACAATGCTTGCCTCCAGAGAGATCTGGGTAGGCTGAGATAAACCTGCCTAGAAAAGATCTCAGCTTTGTGTACCTTTTCATGTATCATGTGAATATTCTCAAACTCAAAATAATATTACACATTTAGCCAGGTGCAGTGGCTCACGCCTATAATCCCAGAGCTTTGGAAAGCCGAGGCGGGCAGACCACTTGAGCTCAGAAATTCGAGACCAGTCTGAGCAACATGGTGAAACCCCATCTCTACAAAAAATACAAAAATTAGCCCAGTGCGGTGATGCACGCCTGGAGTCTCGGATACTCAGGAGGCTGAGATGGGAGGATCACTTGAGCCCAGGAGGCAGAGGTTGCACCGAGCAGAGATTGCACCACCTTACTCCAGCCTGGGTGACACAGCCAGACCCTGTCTCAAAAACAAAAACCAAAAAACTCACATTTATACTTAACAATAGAAAGCACAGCTGTGTGAGGTGGCTCATGCCTGTAATCCTAGCACTTTGGGAGGCCAAGGCAGGTGGATCATGAGGTCAGGAGTTCAAGACCAGCCTGGGCAATATGGTGAAACCCCATCTCTACTAAAAATACAAAAATTAGCCGGGCGTGGTGGTGCATGCCTGTAATCCCAGCCACTTGGGAGGCTGAGGAAGGAAATTGTTTGAACCCAGGAGGTCGAGGTTGCAGTGAGCTGAGATCATGCCACTATACTCCAGCCTAGGTGGCAGAATGAAAAGCACATGGCATCATCATCAAATGCCAGGGTGAGGGAGAATCAATTAACTCGACTGTGAGTTCAGGCTGGCTGGGTGGGGCTCTGAGCTCCCCTCCCATGCCCGCCCCTCTTCCCCCCAGCTCCCCCGCCCTGGCCACCTATCCTCACCTCATGGCTCGCAGCGCGAGGCGATAGGCCAGGTCGGGGTCATGAGGCAGCAGTGCAGTGAACAGGTAGCGGGCACAGGTGTGCATGGGCACGCTCTCCCGGAACAGCACCTCCCCGAAGCCACTGAAGGGACCCCCTGCAGGAATAGCCTGAGCTCAGTGCCCAGGTGTGGGCTTGCCTCAGCCCCTCCCCAGGTTTCACAAGACCCCAGGCTTTAAGTAGTGGGTGGGCTGGCCCCTGGGTAGAGTGGCTGTGGCTAGATGGGTCCCCAGGGGTAGGGGTTCAGGGCTGAGACTGAGACAAGCTCTGGGTAATACAAATAAAAGAGGAGGCCAGGCTGGGCACAGTGGCTCACGCCTGTAATCCCAGCACTTTGGGAGGCCGAGGCAGGCGGATCACGAGATCAGGAGTTCGAGACCATCCTGGCTAATAAGGTGAAACCCTGTCTCTACTAAAAATACAAAAAAAAATTAGCCAGGTGTGGTGGCGGGCGCCTGTAGTCTCAGCTCCTCGGGAGGCTGAGGCAGGAGAATGGCGTGAACCTGGGAGCAGAGGCTGCAGTGAGCCGAGATCGCGCCACTGCACTCCAGCCTGGGGGACAGAGCGAGACTCCATCTCAAAAAAAAATAAAATAAAAGAGGAGGCCGGGACCGCGGCTCATGCCTGTAATCCCAGCACTTTGGGAGGCCGAGGCGGGCGGATCACTTGAGGTCAGGAGTTTGAGACCAGCCTGGCCAACGTGGGGAAACCCCATCTCTACTAAAAATACAAAAATTAGCTGGGTGTGGTGGCGCATGCCTGTAATCCCAGTTACTCGGGAGGCTGAGGCAGGAGAATCACTTGAACCCAGGAGGCGAAGGTTGCAGTGAGCCGAGATCGCGCCACTAGAAAAAAGGAAAAAAAAAAAGAAGAGACTCCAGGCACACTCTCAGGTGAGGAGCAGGGCTCAGATGCAAGGTGGGGCCAGAGGGTGGAGGTGGGGCTGCATCTGCCTTGGGGAGCGGGACCAGCGGCCAAGACGAGCAAGTCCGATAGCGTAGAGGGCCTGGAAGGGGCAGGGATAAGCGGCTCCCTGCGGCGCTAGGGGACGGAGTCTCACAACACACAGGCCAATAGGGCCAGGCCATGGGCGGGGCCCCTGAGGAACAGGCCGGGCCAGGGGCGGTGCCTAAGTTGCAGATGAAGGTGGGACGCCCTTGCTTTAACATCAGCCACTTGGCTCATTGGCTCCCGGGAGGGAAGGGGGCGGTGCCTCAGCACAAGCAGCAGTTACTGGCTGGCAGCACGCATTAGGTGGCGGGAAGAAGAGCCGGATCTCTCCTTTTAGAAACTGCCAAGGTATGAGTGGACAGTATGACCAGGAGGCGGGGCTAGGGGCGGGGCTGAGGCGGGGCCTCCCATCTTGCAGCAACCCGGCCGCTACAGGACCAGGGGCAGGACCCTACCTTTCAGGAACAGCCAGGCCTAGGGGCGGGGCCTCACCTTCCAGCAGCAGCCCCGCCTGTTTGCGCAGCACTTGCACCAACCGCTCATCCAATTCCACTTCCTCCAGCAGGGCCAGCAGCTGCTCCTCGTTGCGCACCACCTTGTCCTGGGCGTACAGCCCCTCCGGCAGGGCCCGCTGCTGCCCCAGCCCCAGCAGTGCCACCTCCAGCGCCAGCACCAAATAGGACTCTCCAGGGCTCCCGGGCACAGGCACGTGCTGGTAGGCCACCTTCCGCTTCTCGGGGCCTGAGTCTGGGGAAGACAGGGCCAGGGCTGCTGGAGACAGATCCCCTTCCCTAAGATCTCTGTAGCCCTTGGCCCCAAGCATGAAGACTTGGGCACAGGGTAGGTTTTAGAGGGAGCCCAGAAGCTCCCAGCACTCATGGGGTTGGGGGAGCGTGGGAGCCCCACCTTCTAGCAGCAGCTAGGCCTATAGTGGCCTCACTTTCAGGAGAAGCTAAGCCTAGTGACTCTGGGCACTGGCCAGGGGAGGTAGCCAAAGGTAGGGGCGTGGCCAAGGGTAAGAGTCTGGGAGTTACCTTATAGGGGTACTGGGCCAGGAGGCATGGCCAGTGAGGAGGGGTTGTCCCACCTCCTCCAAGAGTCCCCCATGTGAGTACCTGGGTAAAGGGTAAGTGTCTCCTCCTCCAGACGACAGGCCTCCAGGAGCGCCCTGCAGAGGCAGCCAATGGGGTCCAGGGGGTGCCCCACCCATCCTTCAGTGTTGGTGATGCAGGTGGAACCCTTCTGGAGCAGCTCTGCGGGTGGAAAGATGGGGCTCAATGCCCACACACCTGCCCAAGTCTCTAGGAGGGAGGGGTATTCCTCTTCTTGACCTGCCGTCCAGTCTAGTCCCATAATGCCCACCACCTGCTCACCCGATGGTCACCTTCAACTTTTTGTTTGAGGTGGGGTCTCGCTCTATTGCCGAGGCTGGAGTGCAGTGGCCTAATCATAGCTCACTGCAGCCTCGACCTCTGGAGCTCAAGCGATCCTCCTGCTTCAGCCTCCCAGAGGGATTACAGGCATGGGCCACCATGCCTGGCCACTGGACGCTTTTTAAAACACCCAAAGTGTCATTCCCCTCCTCATTGCCCTTATTCCCTCTCCACCTCTCTGAAGATAAGGCCCCAACAGCCTTTAGGGCCCCCAAGGACCAGTATGAAGTTTTTTCATATACTGGTGACCTATCTCATCTGGAAGCCAGTCCTCCAGCCTTGTCCTCCAAGCCACGTACTCTCTTCCCTCCTGGCTCCTGTTCACGGTGTTCCTTCTATTCTGAGCACTTCCTCCACCCCCTTCTCCTGGGTAACTCCTGCACGTTCTCTTTTTTTTTTTTTTTTTTTGAGACGGAGTTTCACTCTTGTTGCCCAGGTTAGAGTGCAATGGTGTGATCTCAGCTCACCGCAACTTCCAGGTACCTCCCAGTTCAAGCGATTCTCCTGCCTCAGCCTCCTGAGTAGCTGGGAATACAGGTACACGCCACCAGGCCTGGCTAATGTGTTTTGGATTTTTAGTAGAGATGGGGTTTCACTATGTTGGCCAGCCTGGTTTCAAACTCATGACCTCAGGCAATCCGCCTGCCTCCGCCTCCCAAAGTGCTGGGATTACAGGCGTGAGCAACCTCGCCCGGCCATGCACATCCTTAAATACTCAGCTAATTAGCCACCTGGCTAATTTTTAAAATCTAGGTGCCTTTCACTGATGCTGCAAGCCTGGTCAGAGCTCTGCTCGGGTCCCAGGGCCCCCATGTTTCCTCCATGATACGCTTTTCTTTGTTCAATTTCCTGACAGCTGATCCATCAACCCCATCAACCAGCTCTCTCAACTGGTGGCCTCTCTCCTGTCCCCCACCCCCATATCTAGTACACAATGTGGATTTTGGGGCTCATACAGCCTCCTTTCCTCCCTCCCTTTCTTCCTTCCCCCCTCTCTCCCCCTATCTCTCTCTCTCCCTCCCTCACCCCCTTTCTTCCTTCCCCTCTCTCTCCCCCCATCTCTCTCTCTCTCTCCCTCCCTCACCCCCTTTCTTCCTTCCCCTCTCTCTCCCCCCATCTCTCTCTCTCTCTCCCTCCCTCACCCCCTTTCTTTCCTCTTCTCTCTCTCCTCACTCTTTTCTCTCTTTTTTTTAAATATTTTTTGAGACGGAGTTTCACTCTCTCACCCAGTCTAGAGTGCAATGGTGTAATCTTGGCTCACTGCAACCAACCTCTGCCTCCCAGATTAAAGCAATTCTCATGCTGCAGCCTCCCTAGTAGCTGGGAATACACGTGTGCGCCACCAAGCCTGGCTAATTTTAAAAATATTTTCAGTAGGACAGGCATGGGGCCTTATGTCTGTAATCCGAGCACTTTGGGAGGCTGAGGTGAGTGGATCAAAAGGTCAGGAATTCAAGACCAGCCTGGCCAACATAGTGAAACCCTGTCTCTACTAAAAATAGAAAAATTAGCTGGGTGTGCGGTGGGTGCCTGTAGTCCCAGCTACTCAGGAGGCTGAGG